TATCTCAACCGTACAATTGTGCATTACTGAACCCAGAAGTAGTATTACTGAACCAGTGAGTTCAAGCAGCGGGTGGGGGCTGGCACCTCACCCCCCAGCGACAATTTTATTTAATACTACATGAGTCCAAACCAGCAACCTTTCAGTTATCCAAGTGGTTAACCACTGGCCCACCAGGGCTCCTCCTTTGGCCCATACAAAACCCAAAACCCAGTGCTATCAATTCTTACTCACAACCATCCTATACGACAAAACTGCCCTTGTGAGCTTCTGAGGTTGTAAATGTGGATGGGCCCAGAGTCCTCATCTTTCTTCCTCATAATGGCTAGTGGATGTGAACCAACCACCCACCACTTACTTAGCCCAACCCATAACCCATGCTTAGACCAGCCCATCCATACCCCCTGCTTAGCCCAGCCTGGGCATTGGCATACAGCTGAAGGCAAGTAAATACCTAAATGAGTTAATAAAGAGAAGAGAGAGGAAGGACATCCTCACCCACAGAGAGCAGATTCCTGTAACTCTCCAGCATCACTTCTCTAAATAGGTTCTTCTGCTCAGAGCTCAGTGTCTTCCATTCTGCCTCCGAGAAGACCACAGCAACATCCTGGAATGTAACTGGCTCCTGAAAAAGCAAGATATCAATGCAGCGGATTTCGATTTCCCTGTGTTCACAAGGAGCACTTAACAGATCATCTTAAAGAGCCTGCATTCGGAGTTTGTCTGATTCTTTCCAAAGGACACAGTTCTCTGGACATGACTGTATACTTGGATCGGTGAGGAGCAAAAAGGGGTGCGGGAGATAAAAGACTATATTTCTTAAGGTTTTATGACACTGATTTGTGGCAACCCATTAAGTTCCCTAATAAGTCCCCAAAATTGCAAGTATTGTCCGGGAGTTCTATGTGGCCATGGTAATGTATTATCAGTTCTGGCAGATAATCCTAGCAGCGTGCCGAGGGAGGATGGTTGGCCTCAGAATACTCAAAGATGGAGAACAGAAGTCTATCTGACCTCTGCCATGTGGCACCCTTTGGATTCTCCTTCTCCATCCACAATCCAGAGGAGGTAACATGTGGCCTCCACATATTTTCCAGGGAACTACCAAGTTTCAGGCTGACATCCTAAAGGGAAAAGGAATACTTCAAATTTGTAATCAGCAGGCAAGTGAGAATACTGTGTGGACTCTCAAACTTGCAACTAAAATCTGTCCAATCAACAGTCTGAAGGGCAGTACCTTTAAACTCACTAGATATGACCTAAGTTCTAGGTAGCTAGGGTTAGAGAAAATAGTCTATGTTACAGGTGGAGCCAGAACTGAACAGGGAAGTGGAAAAGTGGTTATTTTGGTATTTTTATTGGTTGATACAATATCATATTCCTTGTAATAAGATTGTCCATTAAGGATGCCAGCTGCAGCTAATGGTAGTCCCTGAAAATCTACCATCACTATTTTATATGTTTAAAAAGATCAGTAATTAAAAAGCAAAAAATGTGCAGGACACAAGATTTCACCACTAGATACCATTTATGTGGGTGCGTAGTGTAATTTAGTAATACATTTTAAAATGTAAATAAAACCAGTTTTTCTTAAGAGTATTTCCTCTCGGAACCGATTACATGGAACTGTGTGTGACCTCCTCCCTGGGGGACAGACAACCGAAAAGTGGATGAAGGGAGAAGTCGGACAGGGCAAGATATGACAAAATACCCATTTATAAACTATCAAGGGCTCATGTGGGAGGGGGGAGCGGGGAGGGAGGGGAAAAATGAGGACCTAGTGTCGGGGGTTTAAATGGAGAGAAAATGTTTTGAGAAATGATGTACAAATACGCTTTACACAATTGATGTGTGTATGGATTGGGATAACAGTTGTATGAGCCCCTAATAAAATGTTTAAAAAAAAAAAAAATTTCCTCTCAAAGTTCCCTGGATTCTTAAATGCAAAAGCGACAAATGTGGCAGGAAGGCATGAAATGTCTCTCATCTTAAGACAGAGAAGACAGGCTTATTCGCTGGGAAAGGATTCAGCAGTTCTGAAAAAAAAAGAAAAAGAGGTGATTCCAACTCACCAGAATGTGGGACTTCTGTTTTTGCCCTGGGGGCCAGTCAGTGTCACTGGAAGACAAACCTACGGGAAGAAAGGGAAGCTGTGACAAAGACCCTTACATGTCCCCGGAGTAGCTCTGCTCACCATGGAAGGCAAAGCGGGAGGCACTGAAGCAGTGTCACCTGAACCTGGAGCCTAGGCCCCCTCTTCACCTCTCCAGACCCACCACAGCGCTCACCTTTGGCGAGTTTCATCACAGTGTCCATATCTTCCCTGTTCTTTGAAGGCAGAATTCTTCCAGTCCTTCTATCGCTGAGCATAAAGACCAGGTTACCTAAGGTCTCCAGAGTCGGTGCAACGACTGGATCTGATTTCAGTTCCAGATGGAGGTGCTACCTGGGAGGTGACGTCTGCAGTCCTCACTCGGGAAAGCCCCTCTTGGTGCCATGCATCCAGGACCTGTGGCATGGAGAAGCAGGGTGGTTCTGCTGGTCCCTTGACGGTGTCCACTACACCCAGTCCTCTTCAGCAAGGCGCCTGTCCTCTCACATGCTCCTCAGTCAACACTCACAGGGGCCAGTCTACTAGGCTTCTCTGGGTTTGCCATCCTCATGCATTCTGCTTTAGAAGCCCTCAAGTCTGGGTCCTGACACTCTCCCTTTCCCATTAAAATTTATGGCGCCCTCCTTGTCCCAACAATTCAGATTTAAGGGATGGGAACACAGGCAGAGCAGTTGCATTTTCAACTGGCCTAACAGTGTGGCCACCATTGTGAACCTTTACAAAGTATGTGATAGGGATTGTGACCTTATGCTGGTTAATCAGTTCTTGTTACCCAGGCCAGAATAGGGCTGACAGCAGTGGCTTGTGTCTAGAAGCCAGGCCAATGCAGACCTCCACCGGTCAGTGACAATACACTCCCTCAGAGGCTCTACTCCACCTGAAGTCAGAGGCACCTGTGGTCCCAGAAATGCCAAATGTATAGCACTCTCATCCCGGCATTCCGAGACTAGCAGAACCATAGAGCTGGGTTAACAGCCTGGCCTGCCAGATGTCCTCTAAACCCACAAAGACTACTGAAGCAGGAGTCCTGATGCCAAAAATCTGTTGCCCAGAAAGGGGGTTGGCCATTCACATTTCCCTCCTTTTTGTGTGCTGTCCCACCAAGTGCTCACCTACCGACTTTTCTGTCTTTCCTTCCCCTTCCTTCTGTAAAACCCATTCTCCCGCGTTTTGCTTTTATATTCATTTGTCTCTTATTTTTCACCCTATTTTATTTCTTTTCTTTTTATCCCTTTTTACACGATTTTCTTATTAATTGCCCCTTAGTAATCACCCCACATTTATTATTTTCTTATTGTGCTCGTTGTAACTTTTCTCTCTCTTGTCCCCCCCAGGCAGAATGAAGCAACCTTGCACATGCTGCCCAGCCACACCAGTACTCTCTGTAGTAACCATCTGGCCTTGGTGGATGCTAAAAGGGTGCCAACACTGGAAAACAGCATGGCGCTTCCTTTAAAAGTTAACAATGAAAATATGCAATGATCTAGCCATCTCATTACTTCCTACGTATCCCAGCAAAATAAGAGCTGCAGCATAAGTGGATGTGCACACTCATGTTCACTGTGCCACTGACCCCGTAGTAAACCTATGGAGAGAACCTCACTGTCCATCAAGAGAAGAAGCGACAAAGAAATGACGGTGCACACACGACAGAATACCAGGAACAACAGGGCTCTGTAGACAACTCATAACATGCAAAAAGCACCTGAAGGACAGCGTGCCGACTACAATGTGTCAGTCCCAAAGGACTGTTATAGAAAGACAGAGAAGCTTAGAGGAATGCAGCTAACTGATGAAGTCACAAATCCCACCCCTTGCCATTTTACAACCATTGTTAATGTACTATTACTTCTCTAAAATGGGATTTTGACCTTCATCAGGGAATCAGATCTCGAAATGGTTGTAATGTGCAGTAGCTGGGAAGTGAACTACTATCCAGCAAATTACAGCGATGTGCTTAATTTTCACAGCAGCTGCCAGAGTCCTGGGAATCAACTGCCAGGGTGAAATGCTCCCGGGGCAAAAATGCCAGTAATCTGCATGAGAGCCTTCAACTGGGTAGTGGTCTAGGGTGTGGTCTGGCCACCATTTGAAACACAGGTGACACTAGGAATGTGATGTGTAAGTGGGACGGTCCCCCAAATGTGGTGTTAGGATTCAGGCCTCCTCCTTTCTTCTTTTTTTAAAAAAAATCATTTTATTAGGGGCTCATACAATTCTTATCACAATCCATACATACATCAATTGTGTAAAGCGCATTTGTACATTCATTGCCCTCATCATTCTCAAAACATTTGCTCTCCACTTAAGCCCCCCGCATCAGATCCTCATTTTTCTCCTCCCTCCCCGCTCTCTCATGAGCCCTTGATAATTTATAAATTGTTATTTTGTCATATCTTGCCCTGTCCGACGTCTCCCTTCACCCACTTTTCGGTTGTCGGTCCCCCAGGGAAGAGGTCACACACAGCTCCTTGTAATCGGTTCCCTCTTTCCTACCCACTCTCCCTCCACCCTCCCAGTATCGCCACTCACACCACTGGTCCTGTAGGGCTCATCCGCCCTGGATTCCCTGTGTTTTCAGTCCCTCTCTGTACCAGTGTACATCCTTTGGTCTAGCCAGACTGCAAGGTCGAATTCGAGTCATGGTAGTGGGAGCGGGGAGGAAACATTTAGGAACTAGAGGAAAGTTGTATTTTTCATCGTTGCTACATCTCACCCTGACTGGCTGTCTCCTCCCCGAGGCTCCTCTGCAAGGGGATCTCCAGTGCAGGCCTCCTCATTTCTACAAGACCCATTCAGGACAAGTTACTACACAGCATGGACCTGGGCTTGAAACTGGCAGTGTGAGCGTAGCCACTCTGACCCCTTGTGTCCAGAATTCAAACTGCAGGTGCCCACGTTTCAAAAGGAGAAGGCTGTAACTCTTTGCAGGAGTAGAACCGTCTTCTCTTTATCTCAGGATTTATTTTTGTCTGTTTTTAATCTTGAAATATGAACAAATGAAAATCCTGAGATCTGTCATAGAAGAGAAGACTGTTGGCTGGCAGCTTCTGGCACACAGACCGGTGTCTATTCCAGAATAAGGCCAGCAGTGATACTTGATACTGACAAGGAGATTTGTCTTTTTGATGTTTCAGACCACAAAGTTGTATCATTATTAAAAATAGTTGGCATAGACCAAATGACAGAATACTAAATTAATTCTGGGTCTCGCACAAGTTTACTTCTCAAAAGGCCCATAAGTTAGTTGTTCCCATAAACTGAGGTTCATGTTATATATCTTGCTGAAGGTGGAAAAAAAACCCAACCAAACTCCTTATTTTTTAACTCCAGCTATGGGGTGCCACATTTAGAGCCAGTGAGGCCAAAGATAATACTGCCAGCAGTGTGATCCCTGTGGGACCTGACAATTCTCAATGTGCATCCATCCATACATAGGGGTTAAGAGGAGGTAAATGAAAGGAAATTGGCTATGAATTCATAAGTGCTGAATCAGCACATGGGGCCATAGGATTTGCATTAGAGCCTAAAATCTAAAAGCTTTTAGTTTGTGAAAGACTATGCCCTACAGCTGGAACGCTAACTCCATGTTGTGTCTTGACCTAAGTTCAAGCTACATCTGAATCCCTCTAATGACTTCCAATGTTTTGGATCATCAGGTCACATTGTGGTCAACATGGATAAACTACAGTGCAAGGAGAAGCCTTTCCCTAAACAAGAACATGGTTGAAAGTAGACTCTAAGCCCCTCAGAGAGGCGTCCTTCCCACAAAATGATTGGTTCTCATGCAAAGAATTAAGGAACTTGGAAAAGAAGTCTGACAATCTACTTCTAAGATAACTGAAAAGCCTACGGAGCACAGTTCCGTGATGAGAGGGGCCTCATCATAGCTGCCATCAACTTCAAGGCAACTTGTTTGCCTACAATAGACCCCAGCTCCAACACTACAGCTAGTCTATCTGGTGGCTTTGTGCCTATGTCCCACAGGTGGTTAATTTTTTTTTACTTTCACTGAAATTTCCAGCATTTTGAAATTAGGATATTAAAAATGGCAACTCTACTCTCTTGATTAAAAGAAATAATAAAAGTCCTTATTTCATGTTCTGCTCTGTGGTTTAACTTAACCCATTGACCCAGAATTTCAGGCAATTCCAACTCACATCACCCCTGTAGGATAGAGTAGAATTACCCCTCATAGAGTTTCTGGGATTGGCATATTTGGAAGCTAACTGCTTCTTCCTCCTCCAGCATGGCATTTGATGAGTTACAAACAACCTAGAGATTAAGCACAGCCCCAACAGGAACTCACTGCCAACAGACAAGAGTCTCTCCAAACTATTCTTACAAAACGCATACCATCATCACACCATTACCATCTCTAAAGGCAGAGCCACCTCCTTCAAACAAATTGGCAGAAGTCACTTCAACAGGAAATTCTGTAGACCAAAATGTGTATCACAAACACCCTTCATTTGCATAGATAGCTTGGTGAGTTCATTCTTATTTAAATGCAATTGCAGTGGAACTAGGAATCTTTGAGATCCTTCACTGGGGGTGGTGGGGGTGGCGGGCGATGACTAGCCCTGCTAACCATGCTCACCAACAACAAAATGATATTTCCCAACATTATGACAAAGAGCATCCTAGTTTGTTTCCTGAATAGAACATCCTTGATTTAGGACTTTGTTCAACATTTTTAATTAAGTCAAATGGAAAACTGGATCAAAGTCACAAGGAAGGATTAGTCAGCTTGGTTAACTTGTCTCAAGTCTCTCCCATCTCTAAGATTTCCAGGAGCTGCAGACCTGATAAATTCTCTCAAGACACGCTAGGGATGTTACACCAAGGGTATGACCTCCCTCCCCATGTGTGTTAGCCTGCATGGTCTAGAGAAACAGAACTTGTGAGTCATCTTGTTGGACTGCAAGGCGTCCAGAGAGCCTGTCACTGTAGCTAAAAGAGAGATTGGGTTGATTCGAGAAATTCCAACTTTATTCCAGAAGGCAAATAGCCAGGTTTCTCCTCTGAGGTGTTTCGGGGTTCAGTCCTGATGCCCATTAATATACAAGAAACAGGTTTTTATTACAAAGATTAAGGAGGAGATTAGCAGGTATTCTAAAATTATCTACACTTACATTTCTCCAAGGGCCATGCGATCACCATCCCCTGAAATTGGTGTGATGTTTTTGTCCAGCTACTTATCTTACTGACCCTGTTAGCTTCCTTCCCAAGTTGGAATCCCTACTGATGAAGTTTCAAAACTTTATTGTAAGGGAGGGGACTGTTACATTTTGAGATTTTAGCAAACTAAATCCTAAATTATTTCCCATTTCTATATTGGTTTTCCCTGTATCAATGAGCTTCATATCCAAAGTAATCTTGTGTCGAGAAGGCATCACACTTCTGGGTCCTATGCTGGCCAGAGACGTCTTCAGACTCAAGGAGTATCTATTAAGAGCTTAAATTCTGAGCACCCTGGATTGCAAAAGAGTATGGATGACAGTGGACGTCCAAAATCCATTTGCCCAGTTCCCATGATTCTGCTTCGGCTGAATGCTTTCAGATCATTAGCCAAGGATGGAGATAATTTTGCCCACAGGCAGAATGCCTTGGAGAGTGGATGGCCTCCACCTATCTCTGGCGCGTCCAGGGAGGGGCAGGTGGGTACAGAGTAACTGGTCCATGGAAACAAGACAAGACTCAGCAGTGGGGGAAGGGCAGCCCACACGAGGCCGGCCCCTGGAGGCAAACACAGAGTCCCAGAAAGCAGGAAGGGGCAGAGAGAGAAGGTTATGTAAAGTTCTCCTTTAAAAAGGCCACACTCCCAGGAGGCATCTGCAGGCTGACTTGATGGACAGGTATCATCAGACTACGACCAAACTAACATAAAACCTAACTGCCACATCGTACCAGCATGAAATGACGCAAGTCGGGTTTTAAGCCACCACCGTACTTGCCCCACTCAATGCCCACCTGGGCTGTCTCCAGCCCCATCAAAAAACACATTCTACTCACCTCATGCTGGCTTCCCACCTCGTCCTGGAAATGCAGCACCAATGAGCACTCCTCACCCTAAGCCCTCGGGTTTGCACCCCTGGCCGCACACCCGCGAGTCCACGGCCCTCGTTAAGAGGGCTCAACGTGTCCCGGGGTAACGCCAGCCCCTCAAAAAAGGAAATTCCAAGATCAGGGTCGCTCCATGCACCACGCCCAGATGGAACGGCGGTCGAGCGCCCTGCAACCTCAGGACCCAGGCGGGTCCCCACCCACTTTCCAACCAGACTCTGGAGCCGCGCCCCCTTACCCACAAATAGAGCCTCGGGAGCCCCGGGGCGCTGAGCCGCCCGCCCGCCCGCCCC